CATCACAGTGAATGAGCGATCTAAGCGAACGCTGTTAAGAAAGACGTGAAAAATGATTTCAAGCTACAACGGGAATCGAACCCATGACCTCCGCGATGCCGGTGCGATGCTCTACCAACTGAGCTATGAAGCCAACCTGTTGGCGAGCGGTCATGACCGCAACAAGGATGACCGCTCGCCAACAGGTTGGCTTCATAGCTCAGTTGGTAGAGCATCGCACCGGCATCACGGAGGTCATGGGTTCGATTCCCGTTGTAGCTTGAAATCATTTTTCACGTCTTTCTTAACAGCGTTCGCTTAGATCGCTCATTCACTGTGATGGTCAACACATCTGTCATTATTTCACCACAGTTCAACCATTCAATATTCATAAGACAAATATTTATTTCACAGATTAAGCACCATCACTCTAAATCTATATGGTTCAATAAAGATAATAAACCTTTATTTAAATACATGTAGGGTAGCCCCATTCAGTGCGTATATAACATACTGATTTTAATGGAGGCCCTGAATTAATAAATTAAGTGTATTTTTAAAAATGCAATATTATAAAAACTATAGAAAAAAATACTAAAATAGTTTCTTAAGAGCTGCAGGATTTTGAATTARTAAATTGTTTAATGTACATCATGAAAATGTAGTTATTTCATTCCAAAGTGTCCTTGCAGGTGTCAATACGTGCTGATTATGCAAGTATTAAGCTGAAATTATACTAGATTGTGCATTACAGAGAAGAGCACATATTGCCCACATCYGATTGACAAGCCCCAACTGGTTCAGAGGAATTACCCCATCCCATATATGAAAATKTTTGATTTTGTTAATAACCCTTTCAACATGAATCCTTAAGCTAGCAATTTCCTGTGTTCGAATCACATCTTCCKCTGCCATTTGGCTAGAACCACCAAGGAAAGGGGGGAGGTTTAAGGTTACTCCTAAAGGTAACAGGTCCTCAACTGTAAACCCTTTGTCAGCCATTATTGAATCTTTGTCATTGAAGGGCAAATCTAAAARACCACTACGAAAAACAATTTCCCTATCAGAAATTGATCCTGTGTACAGGGAACTTACAAAAGTCACAGCACCACGAGGGGAGATTCCAATTAAACCTTTGAGGGTTGTATGGTGTTTGTAGCTACTAAAAAGTTCCCCATTCAGTTGAAGGCTGCTGGGCATTTGACACCTTACTTCAGTGCAGTCAATAATAACTCTCTGGGCATTTGACACCTTACTTCAGTGCAGTCAATAATAACTCTCGTTGATTGGTATTTTCCTTTAAAATCCTCTGGCATTGTATCATCTATTATCTCTCTCGAAGGCCAAATGTTAATTTGACCAAGCTTCAGGTACATAAAATTTATCCATGATATAAGTATCCGACTTACTGTTGATGTAGATACATGGAATAGGTGACCAATATGCTCTTCAGCAAAACCTTGTCTCAATCGACACATGGCAAGAAAATATTCATCAATTGGTCTTAGAAGTCTTGATCTTCCKCTCTTGTTTTCGTTGATTTCCTCCTCTTGATCATACACATTTGGTGAAACATCAGAAGTCGTGCTYGTATAGTATCTGATATTTTCTCCTTTATCACCAGGGTCTAGGTATGTAAATRTTTCCATAAAAACGTCGTAGTTAGGAAACCCCGTGTAAAATGCTATCGAAGATTGTTTGTGACTGAATCTTTCCACCGAAAAAAGCTTACTTTTCAGAACATCTTTTTGCTTTGAAATGTGCTCTATCTCAGTTTCCAGCTGTTTGATTTGTGTTTCGTAGTCTTGCCAATTTCAACACATCCTCAAAATCAGTCTGGGTTTCAAAATCTCTCACTTCAACAAAGTTCGTCTGTGTTTCAACTTCTCTCGTCTTTTCAAAGTCTTCTTTTACGCTCTCTATCGTTTCTATATTGGCAGATTCTACAAAGATATTATYCCTGTCTTCCCCAGCGTTATTTGAAGCACTGCACGAAGGAAAATTGAGAGATCTTAACGATGGTGGTTTACGTTTTCTTGGTGAGGTACRCCAGGGAAACACCGAAGGCACCACTCCGGGTTTCAAGCATATYTTGCCAGCAAGTGTTCTCTTAAGGTCTTCCTCCTTGAAATGCCTTGAACAAACTTTTGTTGAAGAAACTATTTGAAAAGATTTATCTTCTTCCCGACGGATAGCGTGAACCCAAAGCTTTCTGATATTATTGTCTTTGGGGAAGATAAAGTAAGAGATCTTACCGTCATTGTCATCTCGATAGCCTTTCTTGGTGCAGAACGGAACACAACAGTGAGTTGGCATTGTACATGTTTGAATCATACTTTGAAATTGAAGTTATAACATAAAAAAAGTATTTCAAAATAATAAAATCGCTCAAAAACCTTTCACAAGTACCGGAATATCGCCTTCATGTGTGTAATGTTTACAAAATGAGGCCTTTGTGGCCTCGACTCCGTGCCCTAGTCACCAGTCTCAAATCAGCCGCCGCCATTATGACAAAGGTGTATGTAACATCATCATCATGTAACATCACCATGCATCATCATCACCATGCATCATCATCACCATGCATCTTCATCACCATGCATCTTCATCACCATGCATCTTCATCACCATGCATCATCATCATCACCATGCATCATCATCATCACCATGCATCATCATCACCATGTAATCAGGCTACTATTCACAGCACCCTTTAGACATAATCATCATTATCATACTAACCTGTGAGGGGTATCCAGCCCACCATCCACAGCACCCTTCACACATCATCATCATCATCACACTAACCTGTGAGGGATATCCAGCCCACCATCCACAGCACCCTTCAGACATCATCATCACCATCATCACACTAACCTGTGAGGGATATCCAGCCCACCATCCACAGCACCCTTCACACATCATCATCACACTAACCTGTGAGGGNCCACCATCCACAGCACCCTTCACACATCATCATCACACTAACCTGTGAGGGATATCCAGCCCACCATCCACAGCACCCTTCACACATCATCATCATCATCACCACACTAACCTGTGAGGGATATTCAGCCCACTGTCCACAGCACCCTTCAGACATCATCATCATCATCACACTAACCTGTGAGGGATATCCAGCCCACCATCCACAGCACCCTTCAGACATCCAAAGATTCTAGCGCCAGTGGTGGTACGAGCCAGGCCTATATCCAGGAAGCAACGGAAAGCACCAGGAGAGCCATCCACACTCTCAACACAATATTCATCCCCAGTAACTTCTTCACTACCAGAGTAGATCTCATGTAGCTTGAGCTTAGTTAACAGCTGTAATAAAAAATTCAAAAAGAGGTTTGTATCAAGTGCCTCAAAATCATTTTGTTGGGTTTAAAATTTCACTTTAGAAACCAGTTCCTTCTACGAACTTATTCCCCCTTACAGCATCTAATTGATCCTTTTCCTTCCCAGATCCCACTCATTTTATTTATTTATTCATTTATTTATTAGCTTTTCCCATGAGGGCAGTGACACTAAAACAACTTTTTGCCAATAATTGACAATGGGCCCTGTAGTGTTTTAGCACGGGCAGGGTTATACAGGGTTAAATACAGTCTGTAGTGGAGACAGACTGGGCCTACAGTTTTAAATCCTTGTCCGAGAAGACTCTTAAGGTCTAACCATTTGCAGGTGTAATTACAAAGGCAACACCTAAGTTCTCCTCAGTTATTTTAAGAGCCTGAGTGTTGGTCTGGGTGAAGTTTGAACCTGAAGACCTCCAGCACAAAAGACCGACGCTCTTACCAACTGAGCTAGCCGGGTGGACAAGAACAAGATGACAAACATTGTACTGTTGTGGAATGGATCTTTTCATGATTAGTTTTAAGCAAAATAAAATATATGAATGATCTTTCTGTGTCCTTAAGATGTAGCCTCGTTTTTTTTACTAATATCCCAATTTATTGCCATAAAGGCACATATTTTTGAGTCTGACAAAAAAATGATCTAGACAAGTAACTATTTTAAAATTATTATCTAATCATGAAAAACAGAATAAAAATGATACTAAAGGATAAATGACCATTTTGTTGGCAAGGAATCAGAAAACTAGAAAAAATATCAGAAGTATTTTACGACTGGGCTACCACAGGTAACCCAGTAACAAGCTGCCACTGCTTCATTCAAGCTTTTCTGCACTGGAAAATCATGCCACTGGTTAAAGTCATTCCTTGTTGTCATAAAACACTGATAGGGTACTGTACAATATTGAGCTTTATGACAGCTTGCCCTTGTACAGTGAATGTCCATTTTATTGAATTCTTGTAATGTAATAAATTAATATCTACATAGGCACAATTAATGGTACATATACTCACACGACGAGCAAGGAGCAAGCCAGTGCAGTAAGATGCAGCATAATTGGTAAGTCCAACCTTGAGGCCATAACGAGGCAGCTCATGAGAATATGCTGCGGCAAGGATCACATCTCCTTCTATCCTGGCATAAGCAATCTGTACGTAATAAAAAAGAAGGTCGTTGACAGTTTTTTCAGAAAACATCTGGTTTGAACGAGTATAGAGCGTTTTCATGCAACGTCACAGCGGCCATTATGGGGTACCAAAACAATACATTTTCTATCCCCAAGAATTAAACTCTATTTTTATGCAAATACTGTGCAGAAAGTTTCTATTGTTTATGGCTGCCTTCTCACGTGAGTGAAAACGCTCTATACTTGTAAACGAAGGCCCAATCCATATTTTTCTGGGTTATGTTTACAAGCAAGATGAATGGATCTGCACGATGCATTTGTATATCAACTACTGATAATGATCTGTAATATCTATGGGGATTCATGGTTCTGATTGATGATCTACCGTCCCATGAAAATACAAGAAACATCCTATGAAAACAGATACCTTTTAGGAAAAGGTTTATGATTCCACTAATGGCAAAACTAAATTATTAGAGATTGATTTAGTATCATAGGAATCAAAAATAGGAATTGTATAGCACCTCTGTTCTAATAACTTTGCTAAGAACATTTTCTAACAAAGAAAGATAAAGTCAATTTATGCAAATAATGCAAAACCACAAAGCACTCAACAGCTGATCGTTAAGGTAACCACGCTGTCAATAAAAGAGATGCGGTTTGAATACTTATGTTGAGCAAATAATTGAGGATTGGAAAGCCTCCAATAGTATTTTAATCTTGAATGGAATGTGTCAGGGATCATTAAGAAAGCAAAAAAGAAACCAAAGACAAAATGAAAATGAAAAAAAAACTTGCGGCAAAATTTAAAAGTATAGTTTTTAAAAAAATCCTTCTTTTGCATAGCTAAGTAATAGTAACTACAGTAGCTGATATTGCTCGATACCTATGCATGTAGTAGCAATCTAGACCCTTTCACCTTGGGCGTAATGTTGTCCCATTTCAGACCACGAGTCATTCCCTAGAGCGACATGTATTTGTTTAAGAGTTGTGCATGAGAATATATGGATACAACTCAACAAAACTACTTATTCTAAAAGGAATGACAAACGGTCCGAAATGGGACAACGTTACACTCCAGCCAAAAAAGATCTATTATCATCAGTATTGCACTGTGGTTCTCAAACACACATGGCCAATGAGACTTCAAGCTTTTTCATTGTTTTACAAGGGTAATTAATTAATAAACCTCTTCTGACAGCTGGCATATCGGCAGATAATATCTGAGAATGTGAAATGGTCCGAATACTCAAGTTCAAGAATAAAACTCAAGACCCCAGAGGTGAGAGGTGAACGAGGTACCACCATGTCACTCTCAAGATTAATTGTAAGACTAGAAATTATAGGAGTTAAGCAACAACATCAATGACAAAAGGAAATCAGCTTTTAGTACCACAATAAAAGGAGTAATATTTTTCACCTAGACAATATATTCCTTAACACCTTACAATGCCTACCTACACCCAACCATCTGGCTGCCAGGTGGGGATCATAACCAATGAAATAATTAATATCAAAATATGGACTTTCTAGATACATGTACGTTTTTTATTGGTCCAGACAACAGACGCCAACTCACTTACACTGTTGACGACTATTAAATTATAATGCAAATGTATTTTCCTGTTCATGTACAGTACATGCCAGTCGAAAATAAAACCCACAGACAAACGTTAAGGTAGTTCTTGTGAGTGTCTAGTAATCTGTTTTTAGTAAATGTTAACACAAGTAACAGTAGAGCACTATAAAAAATAAAAAGGACTGAGAGTATGAAGTTTAATGTCAGGATTAGAATATGCAAATGTTTTTTTAAATATAACTTGGCATAAATTACCAATGGCGGGTAATCGAGCATGACTACGACTGCCGTGACTGCACGTTATAAGAATCAAAAACGTGAGTGAAAATGTAGAAATAGAATCATTATAACACATTAATGTAATACATTATGGGTAAAGTAGGTTTCTCAGATAAAGCATAACTAATTGAACACTAAGAAATAAATGCGACTAGAATATAATGAGGTTGTTATTCCAAACATCGTGTCTTGGTATCGATCTACTGACGTGTGAAAACTGTTACGCTTACGAACCAAATTATAAACAAACCGAGTTTACTTGTTTAAATCAAATAGTTTAAAAAAACTATTCCCAAAATATGTTAAGAGAAGCTACAAGTGTAAAATTTGTTGTTGGTGACAGTAAGAATAACAAGACTGGAAAGAACGAGAGTACAGTATTCATTGCGTCAGCTCTGACTTCCTGTTAGCTACAGCTTACAAAGCCCTTACCATTAATATAATGTGTCCTGAGAAGCAAAACATTTTAAGAAATGGTTTTAATTTTCTGTTCAAAGGATTAGTCTACATGTTAAAGCCATTACTAGACATTTACATTCATATATGAAAATAGCTGTTAATATCATGTTGGATAGAAGTGACATCTTAATGGCAACAAACTTGAATAATAATTAACCTTGAGTAAATGGCAGTAGCAACATCACCAAAACGTTATAAATGTGTCAATATTAATATGACTCATTCAATGCATTAGATTCAAACTTTTACCTAGTTAGTACTTGCTTAGAAAACCAATTTCTTGACGTTGTAAATTAACAAACATGTTGTTAGAGTGAACAATGTCTCTCTTAATTGAAATATCAACAATGCACTTTGGTAGCTTTTATTAGGTTATGCGAGACATTGACACTTAATAAATTTTATCTTGTGCAAATGAGGAATATAAATAGTAAGATTTAAACAGCAAGAATAATAAGAAAACTTAGGGAAAAAAGAACAACAAAGTTTGATTTCTATGACGACATGACAATATTAAGCTTATGAACAAAACGATTTAACACATATCATATGTACGCACAGTATGCATGTGCGAATGAAAAGTAGAACAATATTAGAATGATATAAACAGAATCCTTCCATAGAATAATCATTGTTTAACGTACAAATTTTGGCAGACACTTGTCGCCAATTTGGATCAATAACACATGCCTTTTTTGGGTGCGCCTTACACGAGGTATTTGCCATGTAGTTTGCTGAATGACTGTCATATTTATGAATGAAAATTGTAATTCATAAAAAATGATATTGCTATAAATGAGAACATGATACAAGTGGTTTATGAACCAAAAATATATACTGTATACAGTATAAACAGTACAATACATGCCTGTGAATAATAACAAAAAAAGTAAATGGAAATAGCGCAAAACATGAATTTACATAAGAAACATAATGCCATCTAGAGTAAAACTATATTATTGATAAACAAGTTTAAATAAATACGTCTTGAGTTTTCGTTTTAAATATGTTGAAGTTATCTGAATATAATGAAAATAACACTACAAAAATGATACATGTACTTCAAGTGAGAAATTGCATGCATTTTGAATTCATGAGGCAATCATTGACTAGGGTACACATTTTCAGCGACATCTATTGCTGATAGTGATCACAAACAGATGTCATCCTTGGGTGCGCCTTACACGAGGTGTTGCCATGTAGTTTGTTGAACAACGACCATTATAATTATGAATGGAAATATAATTCATGATCATTATATTTTAATAGTTGAAAACATGCATAATTCTCTTGGACTATGAACACAAAATTGACATACATTATGTACGGTACATGCATGTGCGAATGAAGAGTTTACGGTGGTAGGTCAATATCATAAAACTATAGACACGCTATTTCAAGGCAATTTGCATTTATAATGAAAAATCATTTCAAGAGCTAATCAGTGAGAAGCATACAAATTTTGGGTGGCAATTTTCATTGATAGTGATCAATAACATATCGCTGGTAAGGTGGCACAACACTCTGGTTTATGAAAAATGAAATTAACATACAGTACACACCGTGCATGCATGTGCGAACGAAACATTCATAAAGGTAGTTCAATATTTTAACACTATAAACACGGTACCTGGAGAGAGAAATTTGCATTCATGAATTTCTTTCAAGAGCCAATCATTGACTAGCACATGCATTTTCAGCAACAATTGTCGCTGATAAATGTCATAAACAGACGCCGTCCTTGGGTGCGCCTTACACGAGGCACTTGTCATGTAGTTTGCTGAACAACGACTTACAATTATGAATGAAAATTTTAATTTATAAAAATCATATTGCTGTTAATGAGAATATTCAACAATCTCTGGTTTATAAACAAAAGAATTTGACATATGCATGGTACATGCATGTGTCAATGAAAAGTACGCAAAGTTATGACAATATGATAACACTATGAACACTGTACTTCAAAAGAGAAATTTGCATACACAACGAAAAATTATTTCAAGAGCCAATCATTAAGCAGCGTACAAACTTTGGGCGGTATTTGTTGCTGATACAGATGAATGACAGATTCCTTTCTTGGGTGCGCCTTATGAGAGGCACTAGTTATGTACAATTTACAAAACACAAGCATGTCTTGGTGTGGATGAAAATTGCACAATAAACCATAACCGTATACCTTACGCGGTACAGCTCACACCAAATATATGAAATGTTTATTACCAAAGTAAAACCTTTCAGGGGGTCTACAAGGATATTTCTTGGGGGGAGGAGGGGGGGGGGGTAGTTAGGTGGGTTGAAAACAGCAAATGGGCAATTAGTATTTCCTACCTGGCAAGTTATATCCTTGTTGGTAAATCTGACAACCAAACGATACTTGGGAGTATTGTATTTGTTCTTGTCCTGGGTTATGAGTCGCTTACGAGCAAAGTAGTCGGTTTTGCCCTCTACAAAAAAACACGTTGCAAAGATCGATTAACATTACTGTAGTGTACTGGCATAAAACCTCTTATTACGATGATTTGAACGAGAAATTTCAAAAATGTAATACTCACGACGTCGCCTCTTGAATTTGACCTGAAATCTCTTGAAATAGGCTTTGTTTTTGATCACTTTCACGAAACCCTGAGGATAAAAATTCGAAAACACGTGAATATCTCCACGAGTTCTTCACAGATTTCACATACAAAATTTCTCCTCATCAAAGCTCTTAGAGCTCAAGTAAATTCCCCCAGAGCAGCATGAATAGTTTATTTACAAATGGGTTGGAAGCTTAAGAGTTAGTTCTCACCATATTGGATTATACGGGTCCAGATTTTCGGAGTAGCCGAAAACCCCTTGGATTTTCTATGATGGAAGAGAGAGAGAGAGAGAGACCACATTGCTGTCTGACGACACGGGTTAAAAACGCGTGATTGGTTAATTCAAAATATTAACTGCGGATGCGCAGTGTGGTTTTCCGCTGAATTTAGCGCAGGCGGTCAGTTCAAAATGGCGGATGGGGAAGGATTCTCGTCGAGCGCTATTTTTTTCCAAAAATCGAAGTTTTTTTACTAACATATATGGATAAAATGCCGTAATTGATCAAGAAAACAAGTCAGATGAGTATCTTGATCTTATGTGAATGGTTAATTGTATTGTTTTCAGTCATATTAGGACAAAAACAAGTCATCGAAGTGTAATGCTTTTGTTGTCGCTGCACCAAGACTTTGGAACAATTTACCGATAGAAATACGAAAGTCTCCATTTGTGTCTGTTTTTAAAAATTCGCTGAAGACACATTTGTTTAAGTTAGCTTTTAATTTATAATTTTACAATTAGTACAATTTTTATTGTTTTGTTTCACATATTTTTACATCTCAATTTTTATTTAGCTTAGTTAATTATATATTATTTTTTATTACTCTGAGCAATTAGTGGATTTAGCGCTATATAAATAAATAAATATTATTATTATTATTATTATTATTATGTATTTGAATAAAAAGACAGCGAAGAAATGCAATTATTGCCGTTATTCTAAGTCTTTTCCTAAGTTTCGACCTATAAATGCTGCTCGATTGTCAAGATAATAATGTAAATATAGTCGTAAGTGCTTTAAATTTGAAAATATGTAATCAAAACTATAGATGAGCATGCTTTACTCCGATTATTATGTTAAATCTGTTCAACTGGGTTGCTGTAATTTCGATATTGTGTATTAGATTCCTAGATAATTCTTCCTTTTAGGTGTTTCTTGGCGAAAAAACAACAACGTACAATGGGAATACTTATCATTCAACCAGTTTGAAAGCAGACGCGAACCTCCCATTTATAAAAAGCATTTTTTCCTCAGAAAAATTATAATTTTTTTCAGGAAAAGGGTTTTTATTATTCTCATTTTTAGCAATGAATCAAATGCTACTTCATTTGTGCTTGCATGGCAATCTTACTTTTTTCATTTAATTTTGATATTTCTACAATATCAATGAAGAAGTTTTTAATATTTATGTTAAGTAGATATGAGTGAATCTCTGATGTAAAGTACTCAGTTTGATCTTCCTCATATCTTCAGCCAGCTTAGCTAGTAAGTTTTTTCCTTTGACTTTAAACATTTGAGTCATGCACTGGAGAATATTAAAACAACTACAAACAAAAAAGTTAGCTTTTAAAACTGTTTCCACTTAATGTTAGTGTTGCATTTATAGTCAAGCAGAAGTTCTCAAGGTTCTGAGTTTTATCAAAAACCTGTTATAATCAGGTACTCCTCTAGATAAGCATGGTGAAACAACATTAAGAATGTTTGGCTTTATCACATCTGTCTTTAGTTTAGATATAATGAAATTCTTCATCAATTGTAATACTGACTAGAAAGCTCTTTCCATTTGGCATGATTTGCATTCAATTTGGGTTCAACCAAAATGCTAATTCCCTCCCAGTGGAGTAATGTTTCATGTATACATCATATTCCTTGTTTTTGTTAGTTGATTCAATCACATGTTGTTGGTTGCAAAGGTAAGTGATATCAGCATTATATTTGCATTCAGTTAACTTTTATAGCAATCTAGATAGTTTTAATCAGTAATTTTGTCCTGTTTATACCCACCCATATGGTACACAAGGAGGTTCTTTTATATTTAGTACACCTAGTGACCTGTGTTGTTTGTTATAGATCAAAATAATTAGAATACATTTTCTCCTTTCTGAGAATTGAGAATTATGATATTACCAAAATTATTAACCAAAGTAGATAGATTTTCCATCTACCAAGATACATTTTTTAAATAGAGAAAAGGAATATACCATAAGTACCCTTATGATACACAATTACAAATTTCAATTAAAAGGCCTTAGGGAAAATTCTTAAAGACAATGTTGGGGTTTTTCATGTTCTTTTTTTGCTAGCAGTTATTTTCCTTCTCACATTGCTTCATAAACATATACCCCATCTTTCAATTTTCAACTGTTTTGATACACTAAAAGTACTAAATGATAAGATGGTTGTTAGGAGTATGTTTGTATCCCACCCATCAAATGATTACATCACTCTGGGTATACCTTCCTGGTAATTGGTTCATCATTAATTCCTTTTGTATTAAATCAGTTTTCCATTTCTAAACCTAGGACTGAAATGTTCCTATGAGTGATACTGTCTGACCTGACTGAATCATGGGATTACACACACTACCACGTGACACCTACGAACACTACACGAATGATAACCGATGTTAAACCGATGATAATACGAAATATCAAAATCTGTTTTACGCTCTTTGAACTCTAACTAGCTCTTCTAACAACTCTGAAAAAGTCTGACACAAAACTTAATACGAATAAAAACTAAGAAATCTGAGAAGAACAAGAAGAACGCCTTAAACAACACGACTGGGAACAAATGATATCCGATGTCAAGCCGATGATAATACGAAGGTTTCCGAGAGAAAGCAGAGTGAAAGCTAATTGAAAAAGCAACTCACCAATAATAACAATAATATGTGAGCGTTAAAAACTACTTGTGAAGGTATTTCTTACTCAAATGAAGTAAAGCTAACTTAACTAGGCTTTTGAAAGCTCTGCAAGAAAATTTATCAAAAGAAAAAACAAAAACACAGGAAACCCATTAAGAGAAAATTATTACTCTGAATAGGATAACCCAGCTTGAGAAAAGAGGGGCTATTTCCAACGCAATAACTGAAATGTCTTTTCAGATGTGTTAGATATGTACAAATGCATCGTTGATTAAACCAGAAGCAAGGGCGGATCCAGGGTTTTTTGAAGGGGGGGTCTCAGGGGTAAATTTTGTGGGCAAAGCAATCCCAGTCGCATTTTTACCACAGGAAGCCCATTTGACCTCAGGAATGACAGGGGGGTTGCGACCCCCCCTGACCCTGCCCCTGGATCCGCCCTTGAGAAGAGATGGTTTAATTAGGTTTTAAACAGCATTGGTCAGCATTAGCCTCGTTTTGATAGAAAATCTAAAACATCTCGATTTCTCTTAATAGTTATAAATCATTGGTGGTGAATCAGTATTTTGAAATTTGATCCAAATTATAGGTTAGTACGTCATGGGTGAACACAATTAGTGTTATCGGGACTATAATTATCCAGTGTAGGTAACGCAATATACTTTATAGTCGTCCTTGTGTCCAGGATTTGCTATGAAGGAATTTATCATTATTAAGTATCTTTTCCCATATTAGAACATTTGAGGAATCGTAAAACCCTTGAAATGTCTACAAGGTGTACTGTACTCCCTTGCATACTAGATTTGGTCACCGAAGCATTTATCTATACGATTATTGGATGGATGGATGGATGGATGGGTGGATGGGTGGATGGATGGATGGATGGATGGATGGATGGACAGAC